CAAATTCCAAATACTAGTAATTTGGGATTTTGGCGTCCCAAATCCCAAATGATTTGGGATTTGGGCAACACGTATAACGTACAATGCATCATGTGTTATTTTTCGTGTAATATAGATGTGTAATCAATTTTTTTTTCGTGAATTTTATTTAAATATATTCGTATCTTATACAAAACAATGGAAAATATCAAATCCGAACTAGATCTATTGAAACAAGAAAATGCTAGGCTTTTGGATAAAATTGCGGAATTGGAACAAACTGTGAAAGAGAAAAATGAGTTTATGGCTAGAATTGTGGAATTGGAGCAATATAAAACGGATACCGTGAATTTTAAAACTGAAAATATTGAGCTTAAAAATAGAATCACAAAATTGGAACAAAAACAGATCCAAAGTATTACTAATGAACAAGAAGAGTCTTTTATCTTGTCACTTATCTCAGGTCAAACTGATAAGGTGAAAGATATTAATTTTGATTCTATACCTGAACTAGAACATAGCTCAATGCAATCTGAAGAGACAAAGTCTCAAGTCTCCATCTTTAACAAATTCTAAAGCATCTATTACTTCTTTGTCACATGATATTATTGATAAGGATACAGCTGAGACCTTAGATTTTGTAGAAATGGTATATAAGGAACAGGTCAGTAAAGAGATAATGGAGAGGATTAGGGAAAAAAAACTTTGGGATCAAGACTTATCTTTGGATAGAGACATAGTCCTATTGTAAGGCAATAATAATTCATCATGTGATATAAAAACTGTTTTTCAGGAAAACGATCAAAATTATGTGATCTCAACTGAGGAACCCAAATCTTTACCCAACACCAAGGTAAGTGTCTCAGATACTGAAACATCATCTAATAATATGACTCAAATCTCTAGTCACTCTATGTCTACTTCTAGCAATTCCTATGATGTTGACGAGATAAGTAGGAAAGACGAATCTTTACAGGAGGTTGAAATACACGGAGAGATTGAAAAAACTTTACTAGAGCTAAATGATGAAGATAAGGTATACCTGTCACCCAAATTCAAAATCCAAATGCCAAAATTCCAAATGCCAAAATTCCAAATGCCAAAATCCCAAATCCCAAATCCCAAATTATGATTAGTATTTTTTGCTGAAATCCCAAATCCCAAATTCCAAATCCCAAATACTAGTAATTTGGGATTTGGGCAACACGTATAAGATAAGGTAAGTGAAGAAGTTCCACTTCGTGAGGATATTGAGATACACGGAGAGATTGAAAAAACTTTACTAGCACTAGATTTCACATGTTCCAAAGATGAGAGTGAAGTGGAATATTATTACGATTTAAATAGCAAGAAAAAAACTTACAAAAGCTCATATATAGGATGTTTTGCATGATTTATACCGTGTTATATGTAACTAATAATTTTAACATGTTGTGTTAACACTCAATTATGAATCACAAAATAAATTTTTTCCGCATATACAAATGTCTAAAAAATTAAGAACAGGTGCTACATGCTTATCACCTGAAGCAATTAGTGATATAATTACTGCTAAGGGTATAACAAATGCATTACCGATATTAGCTAATAAGTATCACACATCATATACACGAATTCGTGAAATATGGGAATTCGCTATTGCGATAAATAATTAGTAAATCATTTTTTCATTATTTATTTTTCGTGTGAGGTTACATATGCATCATGGTACGATCAAGATTTCACAAACCCGTTATGGAAAAGATATAATTTATTTATACTGTAGAAGCATGATAATTTCAGAAAAACTGGACACGCGTGTCCGGGCGCAGTAATGTGGCGCAATAAACACGTTTCATAAATTGGATCGTACGAAACACGAAATAAAATGTGGATTGACCAACGTTATTATTAGAAGTATTTCATATTGTTAATGAAGCAATTGTTTCTATTCCAATTAACATAACTAAACTAATCTATTAATTTCATCTTATGATTTCGCAGATGCGTGATAAAAAGTATAATGCCCGCTTCACTAGCTTTAGGTTATTATAGGTTGAAACATTTTCAGTTTAGAAATCGTCACTTTTTATCCACATGGCTTGCGGAAAGCGTAAAGCATTTGGAGAGGTCAATATCCATATTTGTTTCTACGTAACTCGAATAAAATGAAATTTATCTTCCCTGAATCGTATTTGCAAGATGTAAAATGAAATCAACGATTCAATATTATTCACAAGACTTTTTAACCGACCACATGGGTGACGTAAATAATTACTTATACCATTACTGTGCTTCATCCGGAAAATTGAGTGCATCATTCCAAGGAATAGGTAATGCCTGAATCAGTTCCGAATTCCAGATCATGCCTTTAGTACATCATCAAGTGGGATTCCATGTTTAGCGTTAACCTTTACATATTCAATAATGCATTTAAAAATTGTATAACCACATATCGACTGCGGAATAGCAAGATCCGAATAAAAAAATGTGTTCAAATACTTTAGCTTATGTGTGATTGCATTCCGTAATCAAGTAACAATTAATGAGATTATCAGTGAAAAGTCTCAGTTGTAGTATTTTATTTTCCCAAATCATAAACACAATTATATTGATGCTGACAATTTTATTTTTCAGAACTTATTAATTAAGGAAGTTTGTGGCTAGAATATGATATGGAAAAGTAATTCGTTTAATTGGAAATTAAGCTTCAATAAAAAAAAGGTGTACTAGTACATAAAAACAAATTAAAAAGTTGCGAAATACGTTTTGAAATAAATCTATTTACTCTTTCAAGTATTTACAATCCCCTCATGTTCTTTTTTTTATCTATTAAGTCATAAAAGATCTAATCTTTTCTAAAGCATCCCGAGCATCTGGCCTATTATTACTTCGCATTTCTTTCCCAAATTCTATAATATTTGGTGATAGGTCAATAAGCCATTCACTTGCTTCAGTTATTAATTTTCCCACACTCCAAATATCAACTTCTCCGAGGTGATTCTTTTGGAATACTTCTGGGGCATGATTTCCTTTTGCGAGATGAGTTGCCGGTTGGGTCGGAGGTCTGTCAGCTTCATCCCAATCTATAAGAATCCATTTTGACGATTCACTAGATGCACCTGGTAGTCGAATAACGTTAGGCCACCGGATATCTTGATGGAAGATAGGATTGTTACCATCATGCATAACCTGCATTGAACATCACTGATGAGAAATATTCAACAAACATTTATCTGACAATTACAAATATACTTACTACAAGCGCCTCAAGAATACAGACAATAGCTTCAAGGAGCTCCTTCTGATTCTTTGGCTTTACACTCATTCCTTTCGGACCAAGATACACTACACCTGTCTCATTTTTAGCATGGAGAAGATAATCAACATTTGGGACTTCTTTTATTCTCAATATGTCGTAAACATTCCTGAGCTTTTCAACTCGTCCATCAGATTCCGTATGATCTGTGAAGGTTTTTTTAACGTTTGTAGCCCACACTATAATGATCTTTTTGTCTCTGTAATATGACGGGAAAAAAAGATATCAGCATAGAGATATTTCGAAGACAAGTTTTTCAACTCACCTATAAATAGGTTGGAATTCGGGTGATTCGTGCCATCCGATCATATCTTGAAGAGACTTGATTAGAATACTTAGATTAATCACTCGTCGCAGATTAAGGATACGACCTCTCATTTGATTTAAGTTCGAATTCACAATGTTAACAATATCTATATTACGGTCAGGCAAAGGCTGGCAAATGGCAACAAATGTGACATCCGGTCCTTTAGCATAGTAACCTGTGGCAGCAAAAAATAATGTTTAGAACATAAAGCATTTTGAAATGGACATGAGATTTTACCTAAAATATATGGAGCTGGATCATAGGCCCAACAAAGTTTGTCCCGGAGTTCAGATTTCGGATCTTCATTATTGTTGAGCGATTTTTCTTCCCCTCTAAATGGACAAACATTATTGAGGATAAAACCAAAGTCTGGCCGTTTGCTAAAGGTGCTCGTATTATAAGAGGAGTTTCGGATGGAAATTCCATCAGAAATAAGGAACTCAAGAGGGAATCTGATGTTGACATCCCAGAACGAGACATAGGAATCTTCGGTTCCCTCTCGTGGAGGTGGATTGTTCAGAATTGGCGCGCAAAGGATCTTAGCAATAAATTTATAGGCACTCTCGGTTTCGCTGACCCGGAATAAAATATTGAGGTCTTCTGAGGTGCACGGATTTTCCAAGCTTTGATTCAAAAAGCAATCATACTCATGTTGGAGGATAGGTATCTTCAGATGGTCTGGAAGAGGCTTTTCAAAGAAGTCAACAAGTTCATTAACCTTAGGGAGCATCTCCTTAGGTCGTTTATTATAAGCATCAAGAATTTTGACACTAACATCTTGAACTATAAGTGTAAAGCGGAAACATTTCAAAAATGGCGAGAATGAAATTGCAATACAAACTATAATGTTTTTTCCTACTACTCCGTGGCCTTCCTTTTTTTCTAGAGCTCTAATTGCCAGTGGAAAAGTAGATAGTTTGGAATATTTGACACTTGCCTTGCTCTTCGCCCTTAATCTTTTTATGAGAATCTTTTGAGAAAACAAAAGGTATTGTCAAACCAAATTAAGCATCGTTAACAGGAAATATTCGTCGTCTGCTACTTACCGGAGGGTCGTTCAATAATAATATGGATATAACTCCTTGTGAGTTTCTCGGTAAATACTTCACTAATTATTTTAGTTGGATTTGATAACTTTAATCTATCTCGTATGTCTTTGATGAAAATTTCAATCTCCATGGTGCCTTCATTGATTGGAATGTTAACTTTCCACAGAACGATCTTGGTTGCATCAATATTAGAGAATGCAATAGGCCTCTCCTCCTTGATTTTCTTTTTGAGATCGATAATATCATCATTTTTTCCAGCAATAACTTTAAAGACATCCTCTTTAGAGTCACCTTCAACGAGGCAAAAGAGTGTTATATTGTCAGACATTGTTGAGTATTGGGAGGTTTTTGCGTATTAATGATCTATGGTTACACGATAGTTGATTATCGTCCGAACACGCAATTAAGGTATGAATATTTCGGTTGCCAGTGCATTTCAACCTCTGGGCTTGACCACTCTTTCGTACAGATTTCCGAGAAATTTATTAACACTGCTAAAGGCAGGCAATATAAACTTTCAACCTTCTTCTCTAGAGTTCGAAGAAAGATAAGTCCAGATAACTGGGAATTGCATACTTCGTACAACTAATAACCATTTTTATTCTATTCAGAATATCGATAACAAACGAAACCAGATTATAATTAACATTGAGATAATGTGTTAATATAGATAGTTTAGACAAACGAAAACTTATAGTGTAGGCAATAGTATATAAACAATAGATAGATTTGATTATTTTCGATTTTTATTACAATCAATAAAGCAAAGGCAAATTAATGTGATTTTTACACGTCAATATTTTTTCATGGGATTAAACTTTTGAATATAACTGTGTTTATGTAAAACAATGGAAAATCTACAATCCACAATTGCTTCATTGAGAGAATTGAATTCTGATCTCGTTCACCAGATTGCTGAACTTAGAAAGAAGTTTGCTGAGGTCGAGGCTGAGAATATCGAGGTTAAAGCCGAGAATATAAAGTTAAAACAAGATTTAGAAAAATACGAAGCTAGATTCACGAATTTAGAGCAGAAAGATAAAGAAAAAACTGACCTCATTGCTAAATTGGATGACGATATCCATGAAATCAAACAATCTTCGGTTAATACCACCTTTACCAAAATGGAAAATTCCAACGATATCCCCGAACGGATAGAATTACAAACTGAGAATGTTTCGTCATCAGATATATCCGATGACACTTCAAATTCTGATGATACTCCTGAACAAATAGAAAATATATCCGATAACACATCTAATTCTAATATCCAAGAATCAGAAACCCAATGCTTTACATCTTCTATCTCTGCAAAAACTATATCATCGGAAGATAAGGAGATCATTGAATTTCTGGAATCATAAGATAAGGAAAGAGTTAGTAATTTGATGAGAGAAAGAAATAGGGAAAAGAAATATCGAGCTCAAGAACAATCGCCTTGCGACAAAAATTTGGGCACCTCTAATTCAACCGATGAGGAATCACATGATGTAAAAATTGTGAATCCGGATTCACAAAATTTTAAAAATTCTTCCGGATCCACAGCTATTCCAAACGATAGTATTTCTGATATTGAGATGGACAATGACCAAATCGTGGAACAAGAATTGAAACAACAATTAGAATTGCATCATCCATTAATATGGCGTGGGAATCAAAGTCTCAAAGCGTTACATTATATGGAGATACGGATCTTTTAGTTACCGCAGAAAGTATAGTTTATGTATTTTATAAAGCCATTCAATCGGGTTAAGAAGGAATACGTTACTGGTATTATTTTGCAGAAAGATATGACAGAAGAATCAAAGAAATTTTTGCTGATGGTAACATTAAAATCAATACTGCGAAACAACAAGTATATCAAGAGGTTAAACAGTTACTTCCAGATATTAGCGATGTCAATTTACGCCAGCAATTATCTAGAGCAAGAAAAATTTACAAGCTATTTAATGCGGTAGGTATAGAAAAAATTAAGCAAGTTACATACAGCGCAAATGCAATCTCAAATCTTAATAACAATCAAATCCAAAATATTATAGACTATGTCACCAATTCTAAATCAAATTCCGTGATATCTACAGAAACTGAGGTAAGTGAACCTGTTACAACTCCTATTCCTTCGTCTTATATCTCTAATTCTTCAGGTCCAGACGATTTGACAAAAACCAAGGTAACTATACCACCTACACTAATCAAATCTCAATCAAATGCCCCTTTGAAGCTCTTCCCACTCAAGAGAAAGCTGTCAAAAGAAGTGCGTAATCAGGTCATTAATAAATTAACCACACATTTTACCGACTCACAAAAGTTGGATAAAAATAGTAGTATAGATACAGAAGGTGAGCATCAAACTGATTCCTATTGGGTTCTCGGTTCGCATTGCCCACTATGTAGAGAAAATCATATGAGTTTAAATGGTAAGTGGTGGCTAGATAGTCGAAATAAAAATACATATTATTTACATTGCACTAATTTAAAAGAGCCAGGAATTCCACTCGATGATATATTAAAAGCATATTCTGGAAATTCAGAACTGGTTCAATAATTACCTATCCCTTGGAATAATGTTCTTATTTTACCGGATAAAAGTATAGTAGTGGAAACATAAAATTATGATTAGACGATATATACTATTATGTATTTATTATATCAATAAAAGAGTTAGGTTGATCCAAAAACTTTTCCCGCGATCACATGGGGCTCTATGTCATATGCATAGCCACTGTGTGACTGCCCTTCAGCAAATTACGATCGGATTCACATTCAATTATTAACACTTAATAACAAATAATTGATAACTTTATTGATAATAATTGTATATTTCAACGTTATTTTTTACGCTATATTACATTGTAAAAGGCCGGCCTTGTAAAATTATTCGTGGAATAGGAACAAAGAGGGAGGAATAAAGCATATTATATATGCCAGCCGGATCCTAGTCCTTCTTTACATTGTAAAGTAATGGCTGTTCCTTTCCCTACCCCATATTATTAGCTAAGTTATTGTTATTGCTATCGTTATTGCTATCGTTATTGCTATTGTTATTTTTGCTATCTATCCAAGAACCTATTTTTTTTAATGTTCCACCCCTCAAATCGCTATCATTGTAATAAAATTTTTTTACCGTCTCCTTACTAATCTTTCCCACCCCAAGACCACGAATTTCAACAGATACTGTATTACACATATCATCTAAAGAATAATTATTTTCCGCCATAATCCTATCAAAAATAATTTTGAATTCGTTCCAGGTTGTTGAGATAATATTGGAAAATGATAATTGGCTTGAACCACTGGAAGAAGTGTGAAAGGAAATGGATATATGTGAAGACAGGGTATTAAATTGTTCAGATCTTAATGTGGCTATGGAATCTGTTTCTGTTAAATGGTCTAACTGGTCACGAAGAGATTCATAATTGGTGGTAATTTCATTAATAGCTTCAATCACAGTGTTTATCATCACCATAATTCTCTGCCCTTCGATAATAAATGAGGCATCTCACGATATAAGATCCGCGGTTATTCTTTCCACACATGTATTGAGATCCGCAGTGATTTGTTGTCTAATGAAATATATAGCAAAGCACATGCTAGCTAAAATCAGATAAGCAGGGATCTTCTCAGCAAACATCATTATGGACATAAAGACCAAAAAAGGTGCAATTTCCGAAATGTTGATCGAAGACATCTACACAAAAAAAAATCTGATTAGTCAACAATTAAGTGTGAAGTGCATGGGCATTCAATCACAAACGAAGATACCTTATTTCGATTAAAGCTAAGTAGATTAATTTTTATTATGAATTCAATAGTTTTATTCAAAGACAACTGCAAAATTTTATGAATTAATTGTATTGTTTCGCTTTATTGATTTAGCACCTTGTGCTTGCTCCGCTAAATTTGTAGATGGATTGAGTAACGAAAAAAAAATTATCTTTTATAGGGGATTCATAGATCATCATTTATTACAAGTAAAGACTGGAAGCTATCAGAACAATTTCAATATTATCAATTAGCATTTGATACAAGTAAAGATTGGAAGCTACGAGAAACAATTTTGAATTAATTTGATCGTAATCATAGTCATATAAATGCAGACATTTTTTGACAATAAAGAGTGAGTTTTAGTACCTTGTGCTTGCTTCATTAAATATGGTTAATTGCAACTTTATTTATAGTTTGAAATCGTCAGCACCATATATTTGTGATCAATTATATTAAAAGAATCTTTGTTCTGTTAATTTATTTGAAATAATATCCATTCTGCATTCACCTCTTTCATTCTTAATCTGTGCACAATTAACTTTGATCAACTAGTACCATGTTAATCCCTCATGATCGACTTTGCATGCCACAAAACACATGTTATGATTATGGGCATGAGAAATTAAGTCATACGAAAAACATGAAAATAAATCAATGGGAGCTTTATATGAGAAATTGGGTCACACAAAAACCTTAAAACATGTGAATCAACCTGTCAATTTCACTTTATTATTCGAAAACTTTACATTAGGTGATTATAAATAATGAATAAAATAAGCTAGGATAAATGTATCATATTGATACTCTAAATTATCTGATCAGATTAACGATATATAAAAAGCGAGACATCACCTTCACTATCATTCATACCAGAAGAAAAAAAAAAATGATAGGTCTATTTGCTATAATCTTTCATGATGGTGAAAGGAATTCTAACTAATAAGAAATTAATATTTTTCAGAAAATAGTTTATGATAGAATCCATCTCGTATTTCTTATTATTCCTACTGGCCCATTTTTTGAGTATCGAAGTATGTCAAATGGAATTAGTATTTCTAAGAACAAACCCGTTAGTGCATTACGTACTGAAATTTGAAATAACTACTTGACTAAATATGGAAATACTTCTTTTAATCTTCGTGCGGTCAATATTGAATGTTGTTATGGGTGTTATTGTTAACATCCATTCAACGGTTCTTTTAAAGAGTTTATAGTCCTTCCCCATAGGTACAAGACTTTCAGTTTGGTTGTTTCTTGAATTTTAGAAGGTACCAGTTAGTTTTATGTTGATCTGCAAGAATACAACCCAATTCTTTTCCATGTATATGATAAAAATTAAAAATTTCACCAGTATCCT